ATTTTTGTTGATAAGGTGATCCTCTTGTTATTTAAATTATAACATGAAAACAACTTTGTTGAAATTTTAACTAAAGCCTCATGATATTTTTAAATACATTCCACTCTATGTGCCATATCTAAGTGTAATCTGATTTTGCACAGGAAGCTGAATAAATCCCAGGGCTCTGCACAAGGATAGAAGTGGATTTGTGTGGTTCTCAGCATGCACTGAGGCCATCAGGCTGAACTGTGGCTTTGCTGCGAGCAAGACACTGCTCTGAGAAACAGATGAAGAAACAGATTGCAACTCGCAGACTGACAATCTGCTTCCTGGGTTTCTTACACTTTAGAGGAGAAATATCTTGGGCCAGGCCTATATATGGTGTAGCTGCATTAAGTAAGGATAAGCAAAGAATGGAGCCATTCCCTGCCGCAGTCTGCCAAGCGTAGAAGGGGATAAAACCAGCTCCATGCAGGCTGCTCCACCCGCCCATGCTGTGTAATGGAAGTAGTAGCCAACAAAGAGCAAGAAGGGGCCAACTCACCCTTCACTACTACTTTGTGCCAGTTCACATTAATTCATATTCTATCCCACAGCCCCGTTAAAAATCCAAAGCTCTTCTTTTAACACGTGAAGTCTAAAAAGACTAAAAACCATCATTTAATCAAGAACTATCCATTTTTCTTTATATTGTAACACATCAGTAGCGCAAAAAGGCATGTACATAACAGCACATGGCAAAATTACATAAGGTCTCTGAGATACATCAAAACCTTCAAAACTATTTTTCCTAAAACACTTTGAAAGAATCAGAGCCTGTCTCTACCCAGTAATGAAAAACTGGTTGGTCAATAAAAACATGTTATGTATATACAGATAATCAAATTAAGTACATTAAGTAAATTTAAAATACTGGTTTTGTTAGAAACACTTTACTCTTTTTATGTGTTAAATCATTTAATGTAGATTTAAGGAGCTGGGATACAAGAACTGAATGATACATTCTGTTAGAAGGACTGTGGGATTTCACACTTAAGTTTTCATGTTTATACCGGAATAATATAAAAAACAGTGTAATAATTTAAAAATCTGTGCAAATTCTCTTTGCAATTTATTACATACTTAAAAAACTTTATTTTTTTTTTAATATGAAACATAGTTAATATACTAATGTATGACAATTCCAGGAAGTGGAATTCCAGAAGAAACAGAGAAAAGAAACTTTCTTTACACTTGAGGTGTCTCAAAATATCTTTTTTTCATAGTAAAAGAACAAATCCCAGCCCTGCACTAATGTTTTGAGTTGGAAACTGTAGCCCACACACATGTATAACATGTCTTTAGATGTCCTAGTGTATCCCACCTGGAATTTAGATTAATCTCCGCAGGTCATGGTTCTTTGTTGAAGTCCAGCAGCCCATGCAGATGCCTCAGAAACTCATGGGCATCTAAAATGCCACTAACTATCTAGGTTTATTTAACCCACTAAACTACTCTATGCCAGGTGTTTACTGAGGAATATACTTGCTCTAGTATGTTGCAATGCCTTATGTTAACTTTTGAGTCTGAGGAAATCATGCTCAGTGTATTCATGCCCAATCTTTATATTCCAGAGCAAAGCATGGAGGTTCAGGTAGGGGGCCACAGTCTGACTCAGAGCCTCTCAGTGCTTCTCCTGAACTGAAACAAGTTATACAATCCACACAGTCAAACATCACTGATTTGTTGTCATTGCTTTAGATAAATCAATTTGGGCATGAGGTCTTACATAGTATCTATTAAAGATATCTGGATGCATATGACCTCTTAATTAAGCATATATCATTTTTATGTACTTTGCACATACTCTGCATTAAGCAGGGGTTTAAATCCTCACATGAATTAATATATTTATATGTGTGCTTAAAAAGCCTTCCAGAACAGTGTTGTTTTCCTGAACTGTTGTCATAATTTAATATAATGACTTAGAAGCCAGCCCTTTAAAAAATAGATAATTTACTCTGCAATTAACATCAATGAATAGGTTCAGCTGTAAAACAACCATAAAAAAGCTTGCCCTATTTTTCCTCCAAGTAGCATAAAGTACACTAAGAGTCAGAAGAAAATTGTTATGAAAATGTAAATAGGAGATCAGAGCCCAGATAGTTTGTTCCTTGGTTCAGATAACAATCGATGTATTTTTGTCGATTCTGGAATATTAAATTTCATTCACAAGGTACATAATTGCTGCAAAGCAAATCTCCACCAAAAAAAGGCATCAAGGTATGGAGAGTTCAGCCACATATACTGAGTTGTCTCCAGCACTTACAAGAAATCCAAAGGGAAGGTGTACTGCTACTTAGACCAACATACCAGGCACAGTATTAGTCCATTTGTATGCTGAAAGACTTGGACTTTTCCAACCTAATGCTAGGAACAACACTGCCAAAAGGAGAAAGAAAAAGCAACATGGACCTTTCTCACTGCAAGAGGACAGGTAGAGTTCTGGGGCAGCGCTTTAGGAATTGAGCAATAATTATGATCAATGAAACAACAGGAGTCACTGTCAAACACAATGTCTCCTGAAGAGTCTATAAAAAGAAGAAAAATATGTCCCTGTATTTTTTCTATTGCTTTCTCGTTATTGTAACTTCCAAAAGCAGTTTTTCAGTCTAATAAACTGTATGCAAAAAAATACTAGAACAGCTTTACTAGTAAGCTACTTCAGTTGGTGTTCTATTAAAAAGAATCTTCAGATACTCCCAACCTCAAAATCAGATTTTTATACCGTACAATTATGGCTCTTCTACAACTTTGGTATTTTCTGTAAGTGTTGATTTCCTACACAGGATCAAGATGTTAGTGTGACTCCCCTTCAGTACCTTCTTTTGTTTTCATGTGTTCTGTACCAAGATAGATCCAACCTTAATCTTGCATGTCATTCTGGACTTAATTCATAATTACTGGCATCAGTTTGATCATGCAACGTCTCCAAAAAAGGTACGTTAAAATACATAGCATCTATAATTATTTCCTGAAAATATTTTCTATAATGCATAGCGGCTACTACTTTGAGTATTCCTGATGAAGTCAATGAAAATATTAAGATTCCTTCTGTAAAGCATTATGTTCAATAGTGTGTTAGACTGAATGTTTATGCATCAAGCCATTACTGAATTATTTTTAAATATATTCAAATAACTTCTTTAAAATTATAAATATTTTAGCAGCTGTACACTAAATTTTTACATTCAATTTTTGAAGTTACATTTACAGAAGCCATATTCTTTATAACATTAGTAAGAAATATCATCAATAAAACTGTACATATTTTACTTTGCTTTACTTCTTTTTAAGCTAAGTGCACTTCCAGAAAAAAAAAAAAAAAAAAGCCACAGTTGAGTTTACAACATAAAATACTTAAATTCCGAGTGATAAATAATGATTGTCATGACTCATCTGCATATACAAAACATATGGGTTACTGTGCTCCATATACACAAAGTAAAACACTGCTGTTTAATAAAAAGGAAAAACACGAGCAAATACACTCCCTCTAGATATACAGAACTTACTATTTACACCATGAAAGTAACAGTGCAAGAATATAGCACAGGCACTAGCCCTGATGAAATTCACTACACAAATCATGCAGTAGAACTGGTTTGTAAATGGCTAGTCATTGTACTGAAGTGAACTTACTTCTGTACATAGTAAAAATATCACATTTTAAGAAGACTTGTAATTTAAATTCAACCAATTATCTGCCATGCTCCTTGCTAAGCAACCTATTCAAGTCGAGTACTAAAAGCAATCACACAGTGTGTTTTGATTTTGGTCAATGGGCTAGTAATTCAACAATGGTGCAATAACTAATTGAACTGGGGCACCACAGAACTTTGGTAAACTATGAATATCTAAACTGCTGTTGTTTAGAGCATTAAAACTAGCTTTAAAATACCAAGACATTATTAAAACAGGCATTTATTTTAAACAGGTATAATTTCGACAGTTACACTAAATTTCCTCTAATATGAACATTGAAATAATAGAAATATATTGACGAGGAGGTACTGGTAATAGAATCACAAATAGATTTTCATTTAAGCAATTTCCATTTCTCTAGGCTTTTTCTTTCTTTTCAGAAACCAAACCAAAACAAAACCCCAATTTACTCACATTCTAGGTCAACAGTATTTCAGTTGACTGTCTTCTTTTGCCATGCCTAATGTAGTACTGAACACTGGCACTGCACTGTGTGCTGCAGACCCTCTCATTTGACTACTGTCAAATGTCATAAATGCTTGTGATAAGCCCTTCAGAGCACGATGAAACTTAACATTAAAGCCATGCTGTAGACTGCCTGAGATACGAGTAATGACTAAAGTTAAGTCCTTTTACCCAACATGGCCAGCAGCCCAGTTTCACTCCACTAAATCCAGTTACCTTGAAAGTAATGCTGCTCTAACCTAACCTGTTCCATAAGTTTTACACCTTCTCTGCCTCAATGATCTCTCATAAAAAAAAAAAAAAAAAAAAAAAAAAAATCCCTTTCTTTCTTTCATAGGCTATGGCATGCCTAATTTCTTCTGCAAGTGAGAGTAGCAACTACGGGTGAGTGTATGGGGTGAAGCTATGGCTTTTTACACATAATTCCACAATGCAATGCCTTGGCTGTGATTAACGCTTCCATCTGTGATTAAAAGTAGTCATTTGAAGGTGGAATATCAAAGGGTGAATAATTAGTATATTGTGCATATTAGCCCAGCAATAAAAACGTAAGTTCTGCACCTCAGCTAGTAACAGAATGAACAAGTACCTTACTGACGCATTGAAGGCAAGAAATTCAGTAACACTGTATTAATAAAATGACTGCCTGTGACTTTAAACACAGGCACACTTGTACTTGGCGAGAGAGTGAACGATTTATTGTTACTATGAAGGATGCAGGAATGGAAATGAGGATGAGAGGGGCGATGATGATGACAGGGAAGAAGAGGTTAGCATCCCCAGCATCTGACGGGGAACGATGTCCCTACCTCAGTAAGCTGGATAAGGGAATAGCTCCAGATCCACTGCCCAGGATCCCTCCTTTCCTCCCAGAGAGGAGTTTCTCCACCAGAGCCACATTCCCAGTGCGAGCAGCTTCCAGCAGTTCCTGGTCCTTCCCCATGGTCAGGGACCCAGCAGCCCCCCACGCACCCCGCCGCGCAGCGGGAGAGCTACACCCCGCGCCACAGCGGCCCCCTCTCTCCACACGCCGATCTCCCCTCCCCGCAGCCTGCCTGGGAGCCGAGCCGAGCCAAGATTCCTGCAGTCCCTTCCAGACCAGCAGGAGCAGCAGCGGGAGGGAGGAGGAGAATCGCCTCCTCCTAGTTTCACTGGATCATTTCTGGGTGGAGTGTGGAAGAGAAGGGAGGGGGGGGGAGGACGAGGCCAATAAAGAACCTCCCCCCCCCCACTCCCATGCACACACCCCGAGCCCCGGTCCAGAGGATGGGGCGGGGAGGGGGGGGGGGAGTAAGGCGGGAGCGGGCAGCCTCAGCTGCCGGTGCCCGTGGCCAGCCGGGCTGAAGGGAGAATAAGGACCCTCACGGACGGACGGACGGAAGAAGGGAGGGACAGAGGGAGGAGGCGCAGCCCTGACTTGCCAGGCCCGTTGCTGGGGAGACGCGGCTGGCGCGCTCTCAGTGGCTGCCCGGGTTCGGCGGTGCCGCCGCCGCGGGCTCCGGGCCTCCGCCCCGCCCGCCGGCAGCGCCTCGCGCTCACACTGCGGTGCCGCGCGGCGGCCGTTGCTGCGGGCGGGCGCGCGCGCTCCACCCCGCCCCGCCCTGCCAGGTGCGTCCGTCCGTCCCCCCCCCCCCCCCCCGGCGGCGGGAGCTGTGCGGGGCGGCCGGGCCCGGCTGCCGCAGGTGCTGCGGGGCAGCGGCGGGGAGGTAGCGCCGCCCCGAGCTGCGGAAGGAGAAGGGCGGGACCTGGGTACCGGGGAGGGGGGTCGGTCTGTCGGCCGCTGAGGGGAGCGCGCTGCCCCGCGGCGGGTCGGGGGTGGGTGCTGAGGCACGGCCCCGCTGAGGCGGATTAGCAGCAGGTGCGGGTGGGGTGGGGTCGAGGGGACCGTGTGTCTGTGAGATTTCACCGCCCCACCCCGCCCACCCCGCCACCCGAACGGGGATTTAACGCCATCCAGGGACACGGCAGGACGCTCCGGCGCGGGCAGGAGCCTGCTTCGTTGAGCAAATCGGTGTAGACAAAAAAAGAAAATCCGGGCCCCGCTGAGGTCAGGAGCAAAACCGAGTTGCTGGCTCGGCGAATCAGGCAGGAGGGACTGCTCACACACATCTAGCGCCAGGATCGTGGCTTTTTCCTGCTTCAACGGGTGAGAGGTATAACTGAATATATTTAGTGTCAGATCCACTCATCCCTTCTGGTGCTCTGGGTTCTGTTACGGGTTTCAAGGCTTTTTAATTGTATGACTTTTCCAGGCACCAAAATGAATCATACCTTGCGGCTTTCAGGTCCTGACAAGCTATGCTGAAATACTTAGTGCTGGCCAACTCATAGGCACATCCTTGTTTAATGCACCATTTAATACCGTGCATATATGAAAAGCCAAATTATAGCCCCGTGTTTTAGTTTAATAATTTATGTAGGTAGAACCATTGGTACAACAGGCAGGTAAGTTAAGGCCTCTTACCGTTCCCACACCGTGCTCCCAAGATGTAAAGCACAGCAATGGCAAAATGATACTATGGTAGGCAGGATTTTAATGTTATGTTTTCAGAGAGAGCATTAATTACTCCAGACCTATGGTACATTCAAGTCAATGGAAAGATCCTTGCTGATGTCCCAAATTATTTGTTTTAGGCCCTGTCAGTAACAGTTTTACAGCTGTTTTCATATTTTTATTAGCTAAATAAACAACTTTAAACTCTTAATAATTAACATCAATTTCATTCTGGGGTCATATTTTCTCTTACAAAGCAAGAAAATTTATCATTATGGCGACCTATTTTTCCAATATAGTTGTCCACAGCAGGAAACGGTATCTATTTTTTAGCTAGAAAATGTGATTTACATAGTTCAGCATTTTTGGGATGTGAAATGATGTCTTCTCCAATGTTGTCAACCAGACACAGACTTGAGCACTGGCATAAAATTATTAGGTGGAGAGACTATGACTATGGCCTTTCTGATGGAAGACATCTGATATAAATAGCAATTTTAAGGTCTGATTCTGTGATCACAAGTGCTTCATTATGGCTTAAATAAATACATGTATAATCACATGAATTAGTATTTACAGTTTAAGTCCTTAGTCACAGCAGAGTCACAGTGGAAAACAGTAGTTTAAAGCCGGAGTAGAAAGTTATGCATCTTGTTAGCAGCCACTTGAGCATTAACTAGTTCCAAAGAAGTTAGCCATAAACTAAGAATACCCCTGCATTCTGAAGCTTCTTGATGTCCTCTGTTAAGGTAACCATAATTTCCCTTTATTTCTGCCTTGCATTTGATTTTGTATGTGATCACATGCATTGCCTGATAAATACCTTCTCACACATATCCTCTGCATGAATAGATTTCACAAGTTTGCTGAGAGCCTCTGAAGAGGTGCCAGTATTCTGTGAAGAGCTAATCGTAAAACAGGGGTATGCATGTAAGCCTTTGCATTTGTGAAAAATTAGGTTAGAAGCAGATACTAAGGAAAACTCAGGTCTTTAAGAATTTGTATTATTTATGTGGTTGGATCAGCAGATGGCAAATATGACTCAGTATAAACGTTACATAATTCTTCTTGGGAAAATAAAGTCTCAAGACTGTGCTCTAATTGAAAAGATCATCCAGAAAAGTGCTGAAAAACAGTATGGAGAATCAGGATAGAAATACCAATGGAGCAGATGCATGCAGTAGCCAGCAAATTCAGGAGGATTTTATGAATGTAATGAGGCTCAAAACATACCCCAGTAAACCCATCAGCCTAGTGCCCAGCAAAACAGCGAAGGTGAAACAGAGGGTTTAATTTCATTAGCAAATAGAGCAGAAAACAGTTATTCTATCAATTGGAAAAGTAAAAAGGAGTTTAAGAAGCATGATTTAGTGGAAGCGTTAAACATGGATAAATTCTAAGGGCTACTGAAGCAAAGAATTCAGAACATGGGTTGGTCTGTTTCCAGAGGTGAAATCAATAGTGGACTGTAGTATGAAAAAAAAAAAAAAAAAAAACCAAACACAAAAACGCACCAAGACTGAGTTGAATGTAGATGGTCAAACCTACTAGATCAAGTGAGTGACTCCTTTGTGTTTTTAGATGTCTTATGTTCTTTGCTTATGGTAATATCAGGACAACACTGTGGCATGTTAAAAATTATATGTATGGTAAATATGTTAACTAGACATAGAAACATGGCTTTACAATTTTCAGCAGTTACAGATGAGAAAAATAATTCGTAAAACAGCCAAGAGATCTTTCAAAACATTGTATGCTTTTTGAGCACTGCTGTTCCATACCACAGCAGAATTTTGATTCTATGATTTTAGTATTTGTGAAGACATTTAAGTTATGACCGCTGCAGCTGTCAGTGTCTAAGTGGCATCACACCTTCAATCTCAAAACTTCTCTTAACACAACATATGCCCTACCTTCTGTTTTCTTCCATTTTCTAAAATAGCAGAGAAGGCAGTTAGCCTACCTAGAAATTCTTTAGCTGATTTGTCATTTGAAAGGACTGGGATTGACTGTAATAGGCAGGGACTTTCCTTAATACTTTTTGCAATGCAACTATCACTTGGCTTTGTTCTCTCAGGGTGACAACTTTTTAATTTCCTCTTCCTGCAGCCTCCAGTGCTTAAAGGCAGATTAAGTGGGTGCTTCCTAACATTCTGTGGCTTTCCCTTCTCTGTTTTCAAGGAAGAACATGGAAAGGTTACAAGAAACTGAGTTGCAAGTATTAAAAAAAAAAACCAAATCTGTGATATTAAAAATAACTGTGTAGAATAGTGAACATATTAACATCATATTTCAGGACTCTGTATTATCGGTCCTCTCATGTAAGTATACAAGGAAAGTCTAAGATCCCTATTACAGATTCTGAGGGATATTCTGAGAGCGAGCTCAAAATGCTGGAATAAACCATCAGATCAGTTTGGCAGTAGAAAACAAATTAGCATTAAATAGGTCTAATTATTCTCAGTTTTGTACACCCACGGTAAGTTGGGGACAAGGGCTGCAAAGTGCCCAAAAGAAAGTGCTATTTCTCATGCACCTAGGTGGCAGAAGTTTTTCAGGCTTGATACTGTATTTTGCTCTTTATAGTATATACATAGCGTGAAAAAGACACGGTCAACTTCAAACCACCATGACTAGCTTGCTTTGCATTGCCTAGGAGGTATCTAAACAGCAGGCTCAGAGGCTAAGTCCAAGGTGGAGGTCCCAGGAGTGTGTCTCAGCTCCTGAGGCCAGGCGTGAATGCCCGTCGTGTACTGGTGCCTTCTTGGGGTGAAACCCAGTTGCACATCAGCCTTCCTCAGCGACAGGCTCAGAAGGTAGATGGACACAACGGCCACGTCCTCAGTTTAGATAACTGGGACACCCCATAATACTCACATGCTGCTTAGTTTAGCTTTCACCACTGAAATATGCAAAAGGAATTACATCCTCCTCCACTGTAAAAGAAAATTATAGAAACTGGAGGTACTAAACGTAACCCATGAGGAATATAAAAACACCAAGAGTGCTGTGGTTTCAAAAGAGCACATGAATGCTTGGGCTCATCAGATAGAAGTAGAAGCTCAAGTAACATGTAAGGAAAAAGCCATCTTTGATGACTTACCCACAACAATCCTATCTCTGACTATACAATTCCGACTAGATCATGTTTCCTGTAAATGGTTGCTTTCAGGCATGTTGTCATGGTGTAAATTTGTAATGGAAAAGAACATGCAAGGAAATGGTCCCTTAGCAATGTTGCACAGCAGCAAGACGCTGTCTCAGCATTTGCACTGACTGACCCCACTATGTCATTCTCATGGGGTTCTGAACACACTGAAGAGGAGCAAGAAGTTAAACTACTATTCTATGAGACAGACGCTGACCTACAGAGTCATAAGAACATACCATGAGAAGTGTGCGGTGCTCCCCAGAGGGCTGTGATGTCCCACTGCTTGAAAGTCTCAAGTACATACAGGCTGCAGGTTGTGTCTGCTGCTGGAGAGGTGAGCCTCCAGAAAACATTGGTGGGATAGTACTGACAGTAAGTAAAATCTGTCCACCGTGCCATTTCCAGTGTAATTGCAATTTTCCTCTGATGGCAGATGCTAAGATTAACTGGTCTATCTATACATTTCTTTAATGTATTTCTTGTGTGACAGCAGGTGGGATTAGCAGTATAATTATTCATCCAATCCTTCTGCTCTGTTGTAGGTTTACATCAGTTTGCTATCAAAATGTGCCTAGGACTATTTTTCATGCATTAGAGGGAAATGCAGAATCAAATGTGAATACAAGTTGGTAAGAGCAGCATGCTGATGCCCCAAACCAGTGTATGCTGACAGATACAGTACAGTATCAAAGCTTTGCCTGTACTGGCACAGCTTGTTACAATAAAAATAACTTGTTTCTACCTTTGATACACAGCAACCTCTTTCGGACTTTAAGATATTTCCCTCCGTCTTGTCTTCTCTTTTAAGAGATGTACAACATTGCCTACACGTCAGATTTTGACTGCCTGAAAGAAGGATCTCAGAATCTCAGATGAAATATGCAAGTGATGAGGGACTGCAACTGAAAGTACAGACAGCTGTTAAGATTTGTGCACAGTTGTTATCCTTGGCTCTTAAACAGAAGCATACAGGAATGCCACCACGGGGGAACTGGTGCACTGTAAGGCAGTAGCACAGCTAGAGGTATGCTGCCAATGGTTTCCATTCTGTTTGTGTCTCTGCTAATAGCAACTATTATATAGGAATATACAGTGGTAAATCACTCCTGAAGATTAACAAAAATAGTTGAGCGAACACTTGCACAGCACACATCATTCAGGTCTGTTTATGCTTGTGGATACACATTATGATGACCAACAAGGCAAATGGATTTCAAAGTCCAACTGTGCTGCTCTGCAGTACTCAGCTTTAGACTTCATTGGGTCCAAAAGAGAGAGTGGTTACTGGAAATGATTCATGTACGCAGAAGAAAATAGAACATATTTAGGTAATGATCTAGGAAGGCTCAGAACTGTCTATATGTATTTAAAAGGTATAAATCTCAGACTGAGAGCTGGACAGTAAGAGGTTGATACAGCTAGGAATAATCAGAACACTTTTGAAAGGAGAAATACACGACAAAGAGAAATTTATGATTAATGTTGCAGCAGGAATTAACATGGAACCAAATGGAAACAGCACTGCTTTTCTCCTCAAAAGACAAATGAATATAGTGCTGTCAGATATACAATGAAGCACAGTCTTCCACTGATTCTGTTATTAGCTGTAATTTACCAATCTTTGCAATTTCGATTTTTGATAGTTATTCCTAACACAAATGACACAGCTAGTTAACTTTGCACTGGATTCTTGGGTCTGACCAGTTCTTTTTGAGTGAATATAACTCTTTGTGGTGAAAAAGTGGTTGTCATTTCAACTACCAGGGCCTTTCTCTATAGGTCAAGTCCAAGGGGTTAATTCAGGTTACAGTCTCATAAGAAAAAATGTTTTTGAAAAAATCAATAAATAAAAACAATTTGCCTGGACCAGATTAAATTCTCCCCAAGAGTCCAAAGGAACTTCAGATCTAACATTCATGAAATTTGAACGGTGACATGTGAGCTACTATTTCCATTGACCTTGGTAGTAGATGAGTGGAAGGTAGCAAATGTGATGCTAACTTTTAAGGGGCTTGAAGCGGGATTTGGAGAACTACTGAGCCTGATTTCCATGGCTGGCAAATGGGCAGACATCTGGCTCCATACAGTAGCGAAGATTCAGTACAGCTTTTGGAGAAGCGAGTCATGTCTGGTGTATTGGAGGTCACTGGAGGAGTCAAACAGCATATGGAAAATACCAGTTCAATCAATACATAGTATTTAGCTTTCCAAAAAGCTTTTGACAAAGTTCTTACTGAAAACATTTAAAGAAATTAAACTGTTATCGAGTAAGAGGGACGATTCTCTTGTGAATGGACAATTGGTTAAAGGGGGAAAACTAAAATGGAAGAATGGTTAGCTTTCACAATGGCAAGAGGTTGTCAGGACAGCAGGTCGATCCTAGGGCCTGCAGTGTCCAGCAAACACCTAAAGAGTCTCTGAAGAGAATATGAAGTGGAATAGCAAAGTCTGCCAGCAAAGCAACAGGTTTCAGAAAAGCGTGAACTAAAACTGAGTTTGAAAGAGTACATCATGGCTTTGTTCTAGTAGACAGTAAAATAGGAGGTGGAATTCAACGTTGACAAAAAAAGTAATAATTTCTCTGTTGCAACTAGGAGGGAGATTTTGGATTCCTCTTTTACAATTACAAAACTGCTGTTACATCTCTGTAACCTCAAGTTATTTGGGATATTTCAATGAAAATGTCCATTTAATGGTATATGGTAATCAAAATGACAAAATCATTAGGAATTACTAGTAAAGGAAATTAGCATCATTATGTCAATGTATAAAACCATTGTGTTTGTCCTGTCTCAGAAAGATTACATCAGAACCAAGCAAGATACAGCAAAGAAGAAGAGGTATAATCAGATGTATAGTACAGCCTAAATAGACGAGGCCACTTCAGCTTTAAAAAAATTATAAACATAGGGATATATAATAGAAGCATATAAAAATCATAAGTGGTATGGAAAAGGTAAATATAAAACCATTATCCATTATGTTTTCCTAAACAAGACCTAGGGAAACACAACATTTTTTAATTTAAACATTTTAATTTAGAATAGGCTTAACGTTGCTCTAGTATGCTCGGTAGTGTGTGGTCTTTTCCTGATAAATCACCTTTTAGCATGGAGACTGCTACCCGTGCGTGCGCACTGATAGTAACACAGCACAAGCAATAGGTATGTAAGCTTTGCTTGTCATCTTGCTAATCTATCTTAGCTCAGGATACTGCCTTGTGTAAGAGTGTAGTTTAATGTAGTCTTCATATGTAAATTTAAATACACAGAGTATTGCTTACTGTGCTTTTGTACAGTACATATACAACCACACGGTGATTCTGACGTTAAGGGTACTTCTGCTATCTGCCAAGAGGAACAATTAATACCAAATTTGTCAGAGAGTGATTTTGTGAAGCTGATACTTTGCTCTCGGCACAAGATTAGGGTCCCTGACATATGTTATTCAGTTAGCCCAACAGTAGAAAGGTTTTTCATTCTTAATTACTTCTCCAAGCCCCACAAAACAGCATTCTAGAGTGTTTATTAAAATTTGAAAGCTAGTCCTGTACTGCCTAGGGAAGAAATTTACTGCTTTTTGCATGAGAGGACATGGTTATGCAGTGAACTTCTAAATCTCCTTTATCTCTTGTGTAACTGGATTACAGAGGAAAATATTAGCATGTGTAATTTGTTTGCTAATGTGACAACTCTCTCATTTTCAGCCTTGAGACAATATAATAGATTTTGGTCAAAAGTAATAATTGGTAAAGTCTATGGCTAAACCAGCCAATTAATTTAATTTATACTCATTACTCATCTGAACCTAAGGTGACTATCGACCCCAGGCAAAAAGCCCTATTAATTTTAATTGAATAGCTAAGTAAAAGCTAAGAGTTCAGAGGCAGAAACGTGCACAAAAAGATTTAAGATAAATGTTTAAAGAACACAATAGCATATTGACCTACACCAGAGCATCAGTACCAAAGAGGATTACAGGAATACCAGCATATCCATGACACGTTTCTAACTGGAGCTGATTCAGCAAAACACATTTAGGAATTAACCTTTGGATATTCTTTCCTGTAGGAAGAAAACTGGTACGGCTATCGTGATAGATGGTCTCTTTCCATATTTGGTTAAGAGGATAAAGAGTATTGAGACATACTCTGCTACAGATATGCAAATAGGCTGGCATCATCCTAGAAAAATATGTAATGAAAAGTAATCTTTAAACAAATAAATAAGTATACCACAGACTGGAGCTAAAAAGATCCCCCTCCAATAGAGAGAAGCAGTGTAAGAAGAGTGTATGAAACTGTATTAAAGCAGGGTGAATAACTGAAGTAGGATGAATAATTCAAGTAGGAAGATTCTTAAATCACATAAATCTGCTAACTGCTGTATTCTTAAATCACATAAATCTGCTAACTGCTGTGATGATTTTTTTCTTACATTTGTTTCTTCTTTCACACCTCTGAACCTTCCAAGCACTGTAGTTTCTTGAAAATAGGTTTTGTAATGGCAAATTAGTGAGCTTCTGTGACACTACTATTTCATTACATCATTTATAGTGAAGATACCATAAAACTTTTTAAAAATTTAAGCAGCAAAATATGGAACTCCTCAGTTTTATTTTGATGTTAGCATTTCATCGAACTCTTGCTTCTCTGAGCAATACCCTAGTGACGATACTACTCTGCGTTAGCCTAATACCTTTTTATGATGCTGTTTGTTTCTCCACCACTGCCATTTTAGCAAGGAAATGAAAATTCAGATTTGCAGTGGAAGCCAAGTCAATTTCTTTTGTTTCAGGTAGGATTTCTACATCAAATCATCTTTTCCAGTTATTTTTAATCTTTTGGTGCATTTTGTAACAGACCTTATCTAATGTACATTATATATACATATATTTGCAGTATCTAAACATTCATAGCACCTGATTTAGTATGCAGCATATCTTCATTTATTGTGCATTTCTCTTTTGCCGTGATTGTTAAACTTATTTTCATAAAAAATTATCTCTCTTTTCTAATTCTTTCTCTTCTTAAATATTACTCCATGTCTCTTCACAGGGAAGATTACCCTGCTAGGATGGCTGTAGCGAAAATGAACATCGTGCTTAGGATGTATTCGAGTTACAGCTCTGCTTCATCCTTTTTAAAGCATGTGCAGCTTCAGTTAACTTCACCTCCAGTGCTTCGAAGTCTCAGATTCTTCTGGCAGACCCATTTATGATGGATCTCAGGAATGGTACTATGGGTGAGATCTCACAGTATCTGATATAATCAAGTCTCCTGTTATTCATAAATCTCACTTTATGTAGGTTCTCTTGCTTAGCAAAAGAAGTTTCCAAGTGTCCTTAAAGTGAAGGGACATCAGCAAAGTGTAAGATTATGGCAGTGATACTCTAATGGCAGGTAGTAGCCAGCTTGTCAGATACATACAGTTTGTCAGGTAGTAGCCAGCTACCACACACAGTATGGTGGTGTTGCTCATGTGCAAGTTGGGAAAGAAAAAAAAAAAAATCTATAAATTACTGCCTATAGATCACTAATTGCTGCTAGGTAAAAATCTTGCTTTTGACTCCAGCAGCTGTAGATTTAAAGGCTGCCACAGTGATATTAAGGATGACAGCTCTTCAGCCAGATAGGAACAAGTTTTCCTGAATAAAGTGCCCAGAATTTGTTAGAGTGTATTGTTTTCCCTACACTTACTTCAAATTCTCTCCCTTTTTCCTCTTTCCTGACAGCACTGACTTACAACAGCTAAATAAGGAACATGTTTTGCCTAATGGAAAGATGAAAGAGATTAACTCTATGTTGTCTTTGCCTGTTGAAATATTTTGTCAAGTCCCACTTCAAGGAGTCTTTAAATCTTCTTACTGTTATGACTTTGAAGGAATACTTTCCTATTGCATAAGCTGAAAATGCTTCTGATAATCGCAAAGGAGAGTTTAAGAACCTCACCCTTGAGGTCACGGCCACTCTCAGATGCATCTTCAGATGAATATGAGTTGGAAACTTAACTTACAGTTTTCCATGAGAGTTCTATGTCACCAGCTGTTAGTAATTTGGAAGGATTTAGGATCCAGTTAAAGCAAATAGCTCTGATACTGCTTTATAAAGAATTTCTCAGTGACTGCTTGCAACTCACCATATTTCTTACGTTACTCCTGGATAGGAAATGAAATGCTGGAGAAGATAGATTTTTAAATAATTTTTAAGAAAGCTGTTGTGTAAATATTTTCAAGTACTCAAGTAGTCTGTAAATAGATTTTTTTTTTGGGGGGGTGGGGTGGGGAATATTGCAGAAATATTTAATCTTATGTTTTAGATGCAAATGATTTTTCAGGACTCTTCCTGCTAAGTTTGACCAGAGAAGCCTCATTTCT